TGACTCAAGAGGTAGGACAGATACATAAGAGGGCACCTGACAGTGTGGGGTCCAAGTGTCAAATAAGTGAAAGGAATTGCAAGGATGATTAAGCTCATCAGCATCAAGGAGGCCCTGCCAATCAATGACGGAGGTGGAATAGAGGTTCTGTGGAACAGGAGGGACTTAAAATGCCTAACAAAAGACAGGATGGGCAGAGTGTGGAGAGAAGAGTGACCAGCAAGTGGGGTCCTAGAATGAATCTGGGTGGAGCATAGGCCTCCTCATGAGGGGAACAATGGCTGGTGGACAGTTAACTCAGGAGAGAAGTGGGTTCTGAGTTAGAGGTGGGTAGGGTTCAGATGCTTGAAGTCTTGAATACTTGGCTAAGAAATGTAGTACAGTGTGTGTGTGTATGTCTGCATATGAGAGACAAGGTAGGATAGGGCATGAATACTAACGATGGTAGTGGTAACTGAGGTAAATTGAGTGTATTTCTCTTTATAAATAAGCTTGCAGAAAGTCAACCTGTTTGTTACATAAAAATACTATATACTTTTATAGTATAGTATATAGTAAATAGTATAGTATATAGTATTATGTATATACTACATACATAAAAATACTATAGGAGCAAATGCTAAGTGATTCTCCTCTCAGTGGGAGAAAACTCAGGGTGGCATAGGATTGTACATCCAAATTAAAACTTGAAATAATTGACATTAATTTATAGGCATTTATAGATGGTAAATACTTTTATATGGAAGTTCTCATTTATGAGATAGAGATTATTGTCATCTTCCAATGCAGGTTAAAAAACAAAAAATAAAACCTCCTGAGAATCGTGAAGAACTTACCAGCTCTTCTCCATATTAATTCTATCCTTCCCACCACACCACACTGTGAAGTTGCTATTATTGGTAACTTGAAAGAAGAGCCCATACCTTACTCGTCATTGTCTCCCTAACATCGAGCCTGAAATGCTCAGTCATTATTCATTGATTGCCTGCTTGTGGCTAGAGACCAAACTTTGGGAGAAATAGTTACTCTAATGGGGATAAAAATTTATTTTCATCTGTGTCTGTCTATGCTTTTGTGTGTCTGGTCTTGCTCAGACAGAGGAAATTCACCATGTAGAAGAGTTGCTTCTTACTAGACCATAGTTAGCAGAGTTTTGAAGTCTTGTTTTTCTGTCCCAGTTACTCTGCCTCATTGCTGCTTTCTCATCTGTCTTCTACTTTGGAGGTTGTTGATCAGTTTCCCACAGTCTGTACTTGTCTGCCTCTGCCTCCTTATATGTATGAGAATCTATTTCTGTCCCTTCCTTTCTCTTTCCCTAACCTCCTCATTCCATCTCTCCATCTCTCTCCCCTGCCTGATTCCCGCCCTCTTCTTTCTCATTTCCCGTCTCTCCTTCCCATCCTTCTTCCCTCTCTCTTTCATGTCTTATTGCCCACTCTTACCGCAGTCTACTGCAGTTAGGGTGCAGTCTCTGGCCACTGGGGCTTTGGGGAGAGCCCCTGGAGGAGGGCATGGCAACCCACTCCAGTGTCTTGCCTGGAGACTGCGTGGACAGAGTCTGGCAGGCTGCAGTCCATAGGGTCACAAAGAATCAGACACAGCTGAAGTGACTTACACACATGCACTCTGACCACTGATGAAAATTTTTCTTCAAGCCTTTATAGTGACAGGGGCAGCTGCTATCTCTGCATCCTTCTATGGCAGGGCTCTGGTGTGTGATACCTGCATCTCCCTAGACTACTCTGGTGTAACAAGAGTTCCTGAGCATGCAGCTTCAATGATAGGGCCTGTAAGAATCTGCCTAAGAATTAACCATGCATTAAGAAGGTAGCATAGCATAGGGGGACTGAGAGACAACCTGTACAAATTTATTCAGCACCTAATGTTGACTTTACTTATTAAAATGACAATGCAATAAAGTCTTAGACTGGAACTGATCCATAAAATTAAATTTATAAAATAATTACTGACTTAAAAGGCTTTAGAAGCCAGCATGGATCCTGATCTTCCTGATTTCATGACCTGTGCCTAAAACTGGGTCACATCTCATAAGTCAAGCTGTGTAAAACAGTAGATATCCAGATTGGACTTCACAATTTATAAGATCCTTGTGGTCACCAAGACTGAATATGGAACATATTTTTTGTGAGGAGCAGGGTAACTGAGTCAGTGATTTCCATTTTGAATGAGTTTTAAGCTGTGTGCCTTCCGCCTCCTCTTTTGTTGGAATAGGTTGGACTCAAAGCTGCCTTAGTCTGATAGCATAAATAAGTAGCATGTCATCACTTTTATTCCATAAATAAAACAAATTTTTGTTTATCATCTTTGTAGGTGGTGGTGGGAAGGAGAGGGTGTAGAAAGGACATGAAGTCTATTAGAAGTAAATCAGGTCTTTGTACCAAAGATCTCTGGAGTTTATGGAAGTATTTATTTATTTATTTTATGAAAAACTTTGCTGAGAAATAAGAATTAGCTAAATGTAAATAAGTTTACTCACCAGAACAATACAGCAAGGTTACAGTGCTACATGAGTCCATGAATTTCACCTAGCTTTGTACAAACTAGTTTTCCAGAGTCATTTCTATAAACTTAATTTTAAAAGGTAACTTAATGAGATAAAAATCATCTAGAGGTAATGTCTGAAGGAATATTTAATATTCATTTATCTTCAAGTAGAAACTATACTGAAGGAAGTTGCAGTTAAATTGATTTATCAAAAGGAAAAGCATGTGATTGTTTAAAACAATGAACAAAGAATTTTAAAACAACTTGAGTTACAGAGTACTTAAAAGTACAAAGGATGAGTGATTTAAGTATATTAGCTGGGTGTATTAGCAGGTCTTCAGGGGAAAATTAGTATTTCAATCCACACAGTACCTAAATAGATTATATTTGTGTTAAGACTTGTTTATTTGGTCTGAGAAATAGAATAATCTGGCTCTTCATCTAATATTACCAAAAAGAGACCACAATCCACAACTTGAGGCCTTATATAAATTATAAATTTAATATGTGAGTTCTGATGCCGGCAAGAAGGCTGGCCAGCCTTATCAGCAATCATTTTCCTATTCTTTTGGTCACTTCAGCTACGAAAAACTAAAATTTTAATCATAAATGTGAATATATTTTACTTAATCAGTTAAAAGAAGATTTAGTCTTTTTTCAGTTTGTGTTGTCCTTTGTGTCAAATATATGCAGTAGAGTTTAAATAAGAGCTATAATCTTAAAACGTTGTACCTTGTATAATTGTTAAACTCATGATCCTCTTATCATTAATTGGTCTGAAAATGCCATTAAAAATTCTGCAGAGATTTAAAGGCTCTGCTAAAAATAATGTTCACAGGGGAAGGTATTTGTTCTGTGAATAACTTTTCTTCCCTTGAGATCGCAGATCCATTGTCGTTAACTCTTGTTAGACAATCTTTGGCAGTGAGTGAACAATCTCTCTGCCTTGTACCTCACTCTGGTTGATTTTCTAGGTTTGTCCTTGTCTAGGTAGGTGGCAGAAAGGAACAGGGAGAGCAGCCACCCCAGCATTAGGAGTGAATGTGCTTGTTTATTGATGGTTCAGTAAGAGAGCCCTAGGAGGTGTCGCTTTCATTTCATTAAAAAAAATTTAATGGTGGTCTAAGCACCATCCCGCATTCTGCTGAAAGACTGTTTAATAACATTGAGGCTCCTGCTTTTAGTCCAGGAAATCAGTTAATATCTTCCTATTTAAATCCCAAATTTGAATGATAAGACTGAATTCTAATTTATTAACTAAATCATAAATTCACCTTTAGTGCTATTATTATCTTGACATTTAATTGTTGAAACAAAAAGCTAAAGATCAATTTTTGAGTTATTGAGAAATAAAGTTGGTACACTCTTTACATTCACTACTATATTTCAGTGTTTAATTTCTGAATGCGAAGATGATAATCTTTTTTTTCCCTTTCTAATAAAATAACAACAAATGAAAAGTGCTACTCCAAATATACTTTAAATCCAAAATATTTTGTTTGTGACAATTAAGGCCAGCTGTGATGAGCAGCTGATTTTTGTTGTTGCTGCTGCTGTTTTGTGGACACAGTGAAAGGAATAATAAGGCCCTGCACCCGTCCTCCCTGTTTGCTGGCTCTCTGATGACAAACGGCAGATATGTGGTGAGCACATACCTCATTTACATCACATGCATAATGGACTCTATCTGGGATATTAGCTTCTCAGGGTTGGCAGTGTCGCCTAACACACACGGTGATCAGCACATTTCTTGAGGCTGCAATAATCAGAGGAATACAGCAATGATGTGGGAACCAGAGGAAATAACATGGCATGATGATGTCCCCATCACTGTTCTGTTGTCATCCTTCCTAACCAGTTTGCTCTCCTTTAGAGCCTAACAAAAGGGCCATGAATTTAATAGAGTAAGACATGGAACTGGTTGCAAGAATAATATGTCTATTTCTGAGCTCCACTTTCAGAGGAAAGGGGGAAATATTGACTGCACAGGGGACAAACTGCCCTGAAAGCTTTGTGGTCTACGCATGTGCTTATGTAATCTTCAAACAAGACGTGCAGTTTTTCACAAATGTGTCAGGCCTCATTTAATCTCAACTAAGCATATAAAAACCAAAAGTCAGATATAGGAAATTAACTAAATTTTCAAAAATCTGCAAAACATATATTTCTAATAAAATATCATCTGTTATATTAATAGCATGCTGTTTACAACATTTATTCTTAGCATGTTAACCTCTTCATGGTTTTCACACATTTAATAAAAGATAACAATCTCATAGCAGTTTTCACCCATTTGTTCAAGACTTTAGCAAGAGTTCATTCCTGCAAGTATTTTACAGAGCAGTTTGCATGTTCCTGTTCTATAACCATTTGCAATATTCCCAAGTAACTCTTACACATGAGTTCAATAAATAATTGGAAGCCCAGATGTTTGAAACGGATTTAGCAGATACACTGTATTTTCAATACAGCTACTTTCCTTTTGTCCTCTCATCAACTTCACAGCATTGCACCCTGCCATTTTCAGTTCTCTTCTAATTAAACCTGGATGAGCATTTGGCATATATGTGTTCTCACTCATGCGCCTCTCAAATGCATCATGTGGAGGCATCCTATGTTACTGTTGCTGACTTGAGACATTCCAAGGAGGAATTCTACTTCTTCGCCTGAACTGCAGCATTCTTTGCCTCTTCAGTTCACCTCCTGATAAGAGACATGATATGAGACATGATTTGCCACTTCACATAGCAAATGACTAGAAATCTGTGTACACTCCCTTCTTAGACTGAGCCTCACTCATTTCTGTGTCCCTTTCTAGCACCATTAAGCTAAACCAGGCTCCTATTTGGTGTTGATAAATAACTGGAAAATATTAGGTATCAGTAAAAACTAAGAAAGTTCTTGAACTTGGTTTTAAAACTTAACTCTCTTAATTTTCAAGAACTGAAAGAAATGAGGAAAATTCTAATTTCATTTACAACAGCTTTAGGTTATTAAATTTTTTCTACTACATCTCTCTTCCTAAGCAGTTTTTCATTGGATAGCTAAAAATGACTTTTTCTAACTTACATGTCTGGGTTTCTTCCTCTTTGAAATATTTGCACCAATTCCTGAAAAATGCTGTGACATTATTAGAGAAAAGTTGTTACTTTTTTTTTAAAGAGATAGAAGAGTATTATGGCTACATTTGGGAATTTTTAATTTGTATCTTATTTAGTCTGGTGTGCAATGTGACACCAGTTAATTGTATGTTACTTTGTAGTAACTACATGTTAACTCTGTTGGAAGTAATGGTAATTATACTGTAATTGATATCAGTTCTCCCACATCTTTGGAAAACCATACAATTAACACATATTGCCACAGTTGGGCACCATCTTTTGTCCTTTGTAATGCTACCATGTTGGAGTACTATTTAGAATAGAACCCTAAATATTTTCTTCTTATTTAAACTCATTTTAAAAATTCCAATTTTAAAATATTTCAATTTTCAAGAAATGAAACATAGTTCTAAATTTTAATTTTGCTTAATCTTGAAGAAAGCTTCTTTCACAAATAATCAGACTGTCTTGGGTTATTTTTATTCTTTATTTGACAAGATGTTTGTGACTTCAGGGGACTTTATTAGTACTTTTTGTTTCCTAAAAGGGGATACTAATAGAATGTGCAAAATCTTGACGTTAAGGAGTTAGTTTTTTCTGAAAAGAGGCCCTCTTCTTACCAGCAATCTTTGTATTTATGTTACTTTGTATTCAGACAAAAATGGATATATTCTGTGCTAGTGCCACCGTGATGAATATCAAACTAGGGACATATTCATGCCAAATTTAGATGAAACATTTTCCTTTGATTTTACTTTCCCCTTTGCCTTTCTCTTCCTTGAGGTCCCTTCCCTTTATCACTTTTGCATGGTGGAGATGGAATTTCAGAAATAGCAAATAAATGCTTTCTGGCTAAGTGTGACCATGGTTTGGTAGGTTTGTTTGACAAATGGATTATCTTTTGAGTGATTTTGTTGAGAATATGAATAATTGCTCAATATTTTTTTATGACATGCAAAGTGATTTTACTAATGTGTATTCCAGTGTGGGTCTCAGGAGTAAAAGAGTTGAGTATCAAGAAACCATACAGATAAGTTGGTTCAACTCCCTCATTTTACAGGTAAATTAACCAGGAGCTAGTATAGTTTGTAAAGAGCACTTGCAATGCACAATAGTTCAGTGGAAGCAACAGGAGACGGGGAGTCTGTAGGCTAAGTGATGTGAGGCTAAGAGGTGTGTCCTGGATCTGTTACCTGTCAGCTGCAGGATTTGGGGTAAGCATTCTCTGCCTCTTGGGCTCTGTGCTCTCTGCACGAAGAGGTCTTTACATTATATTTCCTTCCAGCACTAAAGCTTTTCCATACCCCCTATTTTTCTTTTTAAGATATGTGTTATTTTTGTAGAACACATATTTCTTTAAATTATAGGAAAACCTCTTAGGAAATGTGATATATTTATATATCTCATAAATCAAAACAAATACATGGTGGTAATATCTTACATTTTTCCATTTTTTGTGTTTATGTTTCTGAGGGGAATTTTTTTAAAATTTATCAGTTTGTGAGCTAAAATTGAAATAGAAGGTATATTTTTGAAGAAAATATTCTTTCTTGGTTTATATAGCTTTGATGTCTTTAACTTGAATAAACTGCATCTGTGTTTCCACAAACAATTTTAAAAAGTACACATTGTAAATTGAGTAGGTATCTGAAATCAAGACCTAGATTTGAAGAAATAAAATTCCCAAGATAATTTTTTGGACAAAGACATTTGCTTAGCTAGTCATGCATTTTATTGTGATACTCTTTATTCATGTGATAAATGTTAGTACAATAAATTCTCACTGGTGGTTTAAGTGGAGATAAAATTCTCCAGTTTTTAAATCATGTATTTGATTTTAACAGAAGTTTGTATGATTTTACAATGGAACTTTTTGTGAACTTGTTACTGAAACAAATAGTTAATCAGAGAATATTCAGGAAAAAAATATGTATCAAGTTTTGTATAGGAATAAAAAGTTGGAAACCACATATAAGTAGGAGTTGGGCTACCACACAACTGGATTTGCTTAAATCTGAACACTTTATAACTCTACTTGGGAGTTGCAAACTTATAAATAACCTTGCAATTGGTTAAAACCATATTAGAACCATATGAATGAGACAGAAAGCATAGGCACTATAATCCTGATGAAACTAATTTAACTCAGTGGCTCCCAAGCCTAAAACGATCTCATGTCTTCAGAGTTAATGCTACTTTGTCATTTATCATCTGATGATCAGTGACAAGAACCTAAGTGTATGTTACAGGAGATATACAGGATACTGTCCTTGCCAGGGGCATGGAGAGAGAACTTGCTTAGCTTGGTTACTCTTCAAATCCTGAGGGGAACTTGCATACATCATTTGAGAATGTTTTTGAAAGCTCCATAAAACATATCCACAAGAAGTTCTGCAGACACTAGCCCATTTCAGCAGGCATGTGCTACATGCTTCTGTGCTCATAGGATACAATCCTAGCTGGAGATAGAATCAAGAGCTCCTTTCCCTCCTCCAAGGAACTTACTGTCCAGTGGCATATATGAGCCTCCTGACAGGTGACCTGAACTTTGTCAGTCTTTACTGATTCTCTGTCTTGCCTCAAGTATGAGTTTCTGGAGTTTTGAAAACTTTTGCCCTAGCCCTTACAAGTCTTTTCTCCCCTAAAGGGAGAACTTTCACTTTTGATGAATTCTAGCTAGCTAGCTAGCTAGCTAGCTCTAGCTGTCAAAAGATAGAATCACTATTAGATCCTAATGGCAAAAACTTCCAGAGAATTGTTTCTGAGGCTAGTAGGATCTCATGTCTAAAACTTGTTGCCTTGCTACTTTGATACAAAAGGCAGAAGTTGCCACTGTATTATTTCTAGTTTGCTGGGGCTTCCATAACAAAATACCACAGATTGGGTGGCTCAAACCACAGATATTTTTTCCTAACAATTCTGGAGTCTAGGAGTCCAAGATCAAGACTCTGGAAGAATTGTTTTCTCCTGAGGTCTCTCTTCTTTGCTTGCAGATGGCCGTCTTCTCACCGTGTCCTCACATGGTCTTTTCTCTATGAGCACACATCTCTGGTGTCTTTCTCTATGTCCTAATCTACACCTTTTATAGGGACACTAATCAAAAGGGATTAGGCCCACCCTAATGGCCTCATTTCGGAGAAGGCAATGGCACCCCACTCCAGTACTCTTGCCTGGAAAATCCCATGGACAGAGGAGCCTGGTGGGCTGCAGTCCATGGGGTTGTGAAGAGTCGGACATGACTGAGCGACTTCACTTTCACTTTTCAGTTTTATGCATTGGAGAAGGAAATGGCAACCCACTCCAGTGTTCTTGCCTGGAGAATCCCAGGGATGGGGTCGCACAGAGTCAGACACTACTGCAGTGACTTAGCAGCAATGGCCTCATTTTAATTTAATTACCTCTTTAAAGCCCCTATTTCTAAACATGGGTCACATTCTGAGGTACTTGGGGTTAAGGCTTCAACACATGAATTTTAAGAGAACACAGTTCAGCCCTTAGCCATCTTTGCTTAGCTTGGCCATTCCCAAACTCTTGTGAAATTATTTTTCTTTCATGATTACAATACCTAAAGAACCCCCTTGGTCAAATTCTTTATGTCTTTCTTTATGTAGCTTCATTTGGATTATCTTCCCTAGAGGTTTTCTTGTTTCTCTAGAAGATTTAAACTGAAATTAGTATGATTTTTGCTTAACGGTTTATTCTATTGTATTCTCATAAAAGTATTGACATTATGAATTAACTCCAAGAATGAATTGCTAATGATGGATTGCTCAGAAATGGAAGACTGTAAGAAGAATGTTTGGAAATGGTTGTTACTGAGATTTTAGGGAAGATTTTTGCAGAGCCCTTTTGAATAGTAATAGCTAGGCAGATTTCTTATATTTCAGCACTAAGCCTGCCCTGACCAGATCACTCGATTGTTCAACTGACTAACATATCTTCCTTTGTATTTATGTACCTTTTAATCATCTCTGTCTCACTATTTTCAAAAAAGATATGAAAATAGTTTAATTTTAAAGTAAAATAAAAATGAAAAATGAGAAAGAAACAATTTAGCATTATTAGGATTTAGCAACCAACCAAAGTGCCTAGTATGTGCCAACATCATCATGAGAGGCTCTGAGGCTATAGTTAATAAGACATGGACACCACATCTTAAGAAGTATGCTGGGAAGACTTGTAAACAGACATATAAACCAATAATTATAATGCATTTTTCTATAAACATGGTGTGGTGATGGAACAAAATAGGGGAGCAGGTAGAAGGCAGTCAACAAAGGATTTTATCCAGAAGAAATGCTTTAATTAGGCCTAGAGTAGACTGATTATGATGTCATCCATAAAGGAAGGGCATTCTGTTAATAGAAGAGGGAATGGTATATGCAAATATACAAGGGCAAAAAATATCATAGCTTATTTAGGAAACTCCAAGAAATTCTGTCTTCTTTGAACAGAGGCAATAAACCAGAATGAGAAAGCCATAAATCTGGTGAGGAGAGCAGCAGCCAGATCACGTAAGGGTATATGAGCCACGCAGAGAAGTTTGGTTCTCCTCATGTAGATAGATGGCTTCCCTGGTGGCTCAGATGGTAAGGATCTGCCTGCAATGCAGGAGACGTGGGTTTGACCCCTGGGTTGGGAATCTCCCCTGGAGAAGGGAATGGCTACCCACTCCAGTATTCTTTCCTGGAGAATTCCATGGACAGAGGATACAATCCATGGGGTCACAGAGTCAGACATGACTGAATGACTAACACAGCAAAAACATAGTGTGTGGATAATGGGGAGTATTTGCAGGCTTATAAATAGAGGGAAAGAAGATCCAGGTACTACATAGTTCCTAAGGCTAAAATTTAGATTTAATTCTGAGATGCTTAGCAACCAAGACAAAAGTGAAAGCATCTTTGGTTTTGTGGCTGTGTTGTTGACACAGGAGCATGGCTATCGGCCTCTAGATCAGGACACCATCTTCATTAGTGTTTAGCTTTGAAACATTTAGCAAACACTACTACTATATTTAACAGAAGTGGATATTTTATGAGCTGCTTTATATTTGCAAAGCACTCACATGTATAATCTCTTATTTAATCATCACAACCCTGCAGCATGTGCATTTTCTATTCCATTTTACAAATGAGGAAACTGGCTCGGAGATATCACATAGTAATTAAGTTGTAGAGTTATTATTCTAAATTCACCTCAGCCCAAATACCTATCTAAATTTTGGTTAAGTGACTTAAAATATAAAAAATTCCTTTTGAGCCTCTTCTCTTGCAAAACTGACAGCAATAATAATATTTTTCCTTGTAGTATCAGTGGGAGCATAAAAGGAAATACTCATTGCAAAGAGCCTTGAACTTAGTACATGATCAATAAGTGACACCCTTTCCTACTTCCACCCCAATCATATCCTAGAGAAGCAAACATGGTTGGAAAACTTAGGACTTAAATTATTCATGATTCCTAGCACAGCTTTGGTGTTAAGAGTATATTAAAAAATAAAGAAATTAATAGTTTTAGTTGACAAAATGGTATTTAACAATGAGGTTCATTACCTCACTTCTAACAGTCAGAGTCTTTTTTTATTGTGATAACTGACTCTGGGGCCATCAAAATAACCCTGTGAAAGTAAATCCCACTGGCTCCAAAATAACTCTTTCCAAAAAAAGAATCATCTTTTTGAAAGTACATGTGGTTACTTTCTAAAATAAAGCTTTCATTTTCAGTCCTTCCTTAAATTACTACATTTTAATAAAGGATGTAAAATAAATACTAATAAAGTGATTGCTTTTCAAGTCAATAAAAAGGAAATTACCTGTGTGCTTAAGTAGTGTGTCTTGAGAATCACATCATGGCCAGATATGTCCAGAGCTGGGAATTAGAGCAAGTCTTTCAGAGTAAGGCACAGACTTTCTCTCAACATTGTACTTAGTATTGTCCTGTTTAAAAACAAACAGAAGACTTTTTTTATTTTCAAACGTATACTGTTTTTTAAGCCACACATTTGTGGTGGATATTGTGCTCTTTTGCCAGTGTTTTGTAAAGATTTTGCAAAGATGCATGTGTTAAGCTGCATAAGTTCCAAGTCAGACTCAAAAACCTCTTTTTCACATTGTTGTATAATTAAATTGTATTCTTCTAATGTATTCTTCTAAAATGGCTTACTTCCCTCTTTTACAAAATATTTATGGCATTTTTCTGTATTTCCTTGTTTTGATGATTACTGCCCAAAGAGACATCATTAATACAATGTGGAGGGTTGAGTCTAAACATCTCTTACACAAACTTGAACTATTATAAAATTGGTTCTTCTTGTTCTTTTTGAACACACTTGTACAAAGTGTTTTTGATTTATGTGGATTAATCAATTCTGTGGGCTTGCAAAAACCTGCAAATATTTACGGACACTAACACTAACTGTTATGTAAGATGTATCAAAAAGGTAAGGTGCAAGACAGTCCCTGGCTTGAAAAATCTTTTGATGCTGTTGGGGAAGAGTTGGAGGTACACATGATCCAAAGCTCAATTCTTTAATATAGTGTGTAACTAGGAGCTAATTATATAGGGAAGGCTAGGGACTTTTGTGTATCAGAGAGTAGACAGATCAGAGAGGTTATAGAGTTTATGAAGAAATTGGGCTTTGCAGACTGAGGGATCAGTGCAAGAAGCTCTACAGAAGGAGAATCAATAAGCCTGGAAGATTAACTGGGCAGAGAAGGGCAAGGAAAGCAGTGAGGCAAATAGTACTAACCAGTTTCTATTAATATAAACAGAGGATGGGAAAGGGAGACATGTAAGGGGAAAACTCTTGCAGGGAAGTCTTTACTTTTGAAAAAGAGCTCTCCAGGATCAGACAGACATCAAAGCTTGGAGCTCAGATGAATGGGCAAACCCTTTTTGGGGGGCTAGTACTTATCAACTTAGAGCAGAAACGTTAAGGATAGATAATATCTCAGAATACTGTGGTGGCCTTCAGTTCAGTTCAGTCACTCAGTTTTGTCTGACTCTTTGCAACCCCATGGACAGCAGACACCAGGCCTCCCTGTCTATCACCAACTCCCAGAGCTTGCTCAAACTCATGTCCATAGAGTCAGTGATGCCATCCAATGTCTCATCCTCTGTCGCCCCCTTCTCCTCCTGCCTTCAATCTTTCCCAGCATCAGGGTCATATCCAGTGAGTCAGTTCTTTGCATCAAGTGGCCAAAGTATTGGAGTTTCAGCTTCAGCATCAGTCCTTCCAATGAATATTCAATTAATTTCCTTAGGATGGACTGGTTGGATCTCCTTGCAGTCCAAGGGACTCTCAAGAGTCTTCTCCAACACCACACTTCAAAAGCATCAATTCTTCAGTGCTCAGCTTTCTTTATGGTCCAACTCTCACATCCATACATGACCACTGGGAAAACCATAGCTTTGACTAGGCAGACCTTCGTTGGCAAAGTAATGCCTCTGTTTTTTAATATGCTGTTTAGGTTGGTCATAACTTTCCTTCCAAGGAGTAAGCGTCTTTTAATTTCATGGCTGCAATCACCATCTGCAGTGATTTTGGAGCCCCCCAAAATAAAGTCTGTCACTATTTCCATTGTTTCCCCATCTATTTCCCAGGAAGTAATGGGACCGGATGCCATGATCTTAGTTTTCTGAATGTTGAGTTTTAAGCCAACTTTTTCACTCTCCTCTTTCACTTTCATCAAGAGACTCTTTAGTTCTTCTTAGCTTTCTGCCATAAGGGTGGTGTCATCTGCATATCTGAAGTTATTGGTATTTCTCCCAGAAATCTTGATTCCAGCTTGTGCTTCATCCAACCCAGCATTTCTCATGATGTACTCTGCATATAAGTTAAATAAGCAGGAAAATAAACAGCCTTGATGTACTCCTTTTCCTATTTGGAACTAGTCTGTTGTTCCATGTCCAGTTCTAACTGTTGCTTCTTGACCTGCATACAGATTTCTCAGGAGGCAGGTCAGGAGGTATTTCCATCTCTTTAAGAATTTTCCACAGTTTGTTGTGATCCACACAGTCAAAGACTTTGGCGTAGTCAATAAAGCAGAAGTAGGTGTTTTTCTGGAGCTCTCTTGCTTTTTCGATGATCTGATGGATTTTGGCAATTTGATCTCTGGTTCTTCTGCCTTTTCTAAATCCAGCTTGAATATCTGGAAGTTCACAGTTCACATACTGTTGAAGCCTTACTTGGAGAATTTTGAGCATTACTTTGCTAGTGTGTGAGATGAATGCAATTGTTCAGTAGTTTGAACATTCTTTGGCATTGCCTTTCTTTGGGATTGGAATGAAAACAGTGGTCACTGCTGAGTTTTCCAAATTTACTGGCATATTAAGTGTGCTTTCACAGCATCAGGCCTTAGAGAATTTCTATTTATAATGCATGTATTTGTTATTTCTCTTAGAAAACGGCTTCAGGAGTACACAGAAAGATGGCTAGTAACACTGTAGTATTAATTTTATCTGCAAAAGTTCTTATTATCACAAATTTGAATGGTTTTAAAGATTCTTTAGTATTTAAATATTTATTTTAAGATATGTCAGCAAAATTTTTATTAAAAAGTATTCATACCAAAATCCCTATGTAAGACATTGGTTCTAAATTTGTGAGTACATGAGCATAGAATTTTCTGTTTGCTGTCTTCTAAATACAGAAGTATAATATATATAATGTGCATGTATTATTATAAAATATTTGATAAAATATATATATACAAATATTCTATGAACAGAGCATCTGAGGGCTAGTGTAAAGTATACTAATTATAATGTAACTTACATGTGAAAGTAACATGATATTATTTTTTACCCATTTTATCTGCAGTGTTAAGTAATGGCCCTTAGGTGCGTGTTCTGTGCCTGTTATGGATGAGCTCGTATTCAGATATTCTTTGTAAAAGAGCTTTGAATACAGCTTGGTAAAGTGCCTCTCATTTCAACCATTGGAATAAAATGCATCACATCATTGTCCAGCCATGTCTGCCTGTCAAATGAAATATTATTTGTAAGGCAACAAACAAAAAGCCTCTCTCAGCATGTGCAGTTTTTACACTTCAGTTTGTGGAAAGGAGGACCGTGTTGAAATCATTTGAGGTGTGGTACAGGGTGGTCAGTCTCAGAAATCCAGTGGGAGTGTGCCCAGTACACTGTTACCTTTCACGTGTTGTTTTTCAGGAGATGGCTGAAATCAGTCATCTTGCATATGGTTTGAAAAAGGCTTGTCTCGCTGGCAAGCAAACTGTTATTTAAGTATACAATCCACTCTACTACTGAAACAGTTTTGCCAAACTTATCCAAGTATTCTCACATGCTTAAAGATGGCATAAATATCATTTATTGCTAGCAGTTTTCTTCAGACTATATGGAATGTCTTCCTGCTGCCTGATCTAAGTGTCCCAGTTTACATTATGGCCTTTACTGCCTCTGTTTGATGGAGTGATCAGTAAAAATTTAATGACACTATAAAATAATAAAAATGTCATTAATTTACCACGGATCTTGGATGCAGTGGTTGTAAAGTTACATTAATAAACAGAATATTTTTTACAACAAAAAGCATTGTTACGTGGGAACGTATAAATAACACACATAAATTTAAGAGCAATTTTACTGTTAGCACACACATTATTATGGAATAGCCAATAAGTGTATAAAACATAGTATATAAAATTTTATTAAAATATACTGTGCACATCAAAAATTCAGCTTTTATCTAAGTGCAAAGAAAAGCCATTATTGTGTGCTTACTGTTTCATTGCTGTTCTTTCCCCATATCACAATTTTACATTTGTTGCCAGTAAGAGGAAGTTGATTTTTTTTTCCCCTAGATGAAAACAAACCTCTTATTTTTTAGCTACCCCAAATTCATTCTCTCTCTCCACCGATGCAAAGACAGAATTGATCAATCTTGCTATGGTAGGAAGGGAAAAGTTGCTAATTTAATGCAAAGTTAAAAATAATGCCTGAGGAGTTGAATGGTTTGTTCAGTGACTCTAGAAATAAGGGATAATAATGCAGCAGTCTATCTGTCATCAGTGAGGCTGCCCCGTCATTGACTCTGATAATATGTGAAGATGATGGATGCTACCGTCTTGTGGCTTGTAACATTTAACATTCATCAGCTCTCACTAAAGGGGGCTTTATCATTTAAATATCTTTATTTAATATGCAACATCTACCTCATACATCATAATTTCAAAGCACTTAGAGAGCCAACAGTCCTACAACACAGCAGAGCTGACTTTAATTTTTTTCAATAACTTTTATGTTGCCTGCATGTTTGTGACTGACAATGCATAAGTAAGTGTCTGATCATATCGCTGCATGTAAAATGCACATTTCACTGTCATCATGAAGACTGGGGATTTTTCCTGCCTGGGGGGGTTGAGATTAAAATTAGCATTGAGGTGTTTTGTTTATATCTCCAGAATATCTACTTGGGAACTACATACCTCATGGAAACTAGTTCAAGTGCATGGAAAACTTAGAGTTAAGCGCTTGCCACCCTTCATCTGTATTTCCATATGGGGACATACCCATTGGTTCTTAATGGCCAGAAGTTGAGGGCCTGTTGGAGCTAAAGAATCTTTAAACTTCTTTCTGTGCCCATGTCCACATCCTGTATTTACTAGGCTCATGTTCAACCTCACTGGTAAAATCTTTGCTTAGCTCAGCTGCCCTGAGCTAACTTGTAGACATCAGACCCTCTTATCTTATGGTTATGTGGCTGGCAAATAAATATTCTGAGCTATTCTTTGAAGAAAAGAAGGAAATCTTCTGGGAGACTAGGTAGAAATTTATATGAAAGGGCATGGCTTTGCAGGGTCCTTCTTTAATCTCAAACACAAATGCTTAATATTACCAAATATAAAATGCAGCCCACTGCCCAAAACAATTTTTATCATTGATTTATTTTCTGCCTATTTATCAAGCATTTCAT